TACTTTTTTTTTTGAAACTTTTGTAGTGTACATGCTTCTTTAAATTAGGCCATACATCTATTTCTACTACTCTCACTTATAAAAAAGAAGTAATAGGCTTCTTTGTTTGACACGTGTGGCCTTGAGATCCAAGTGCGAGAGAAATTAGCCCTAAGAAAAAAATGGATCTCCATGCAGAAAGTGAAATGCGAATCAGCAGTGCCACACACAAAACTTACACCGTTTTGCTCCAACCCAAAATGCCGTCGTATCGTAACTAAGAAGACGTCGTTACGATAAAGAGCGACGTGGCCACATAAAAATGCAGTTCCACGTACGCTTCTCATTTTTTTTGGAAATCAAAACTTCAATTGTGTGTATTTATGTCATCCTCTGACAGGTTGTGAATCTGTTACATTTTAATTCAATAGGTTCTCAAAGTCCGTACAGACCAAGCGATGATCATAAGGTCTTGAAATTCAAAAGAATCCTAGAGCTGCATAGGTTATCTTGCTCTTATATTTGTCATTTGGATATTTGGTAAGTATATTTATTGAGCTTTTTAAACAAAGGTTATTATATTTTGTTACTCTGCAGAGTACTGAAGTTTTGTGGACTTCTGATGTCTATGAAGATCTTTAAAATCTCTCTTTTTTTTGTTACAATTTTATACAATCAATTGTAAGCAAAAATGGAAAGAACATCAATTCAAACACTTATACCTGATCAGCAGGCAAAAAACGCCTTACCTTCAAAATCGAGGCAAGCACCGCACCAGCACACAACAAACTTCAGCAGAAACACAAGCCTGCTAAATATAGACTTAGCCATTTATATTTTGTTATTTGTACCACAGAATTTCTAACAGATATAGATATGTATATAGATCTTTCAAAATTTTGTGTGCAAAATATTATCCAGGGTCACTCATCCTTTTGCTATATTTTGTAATCAGCAATGATAGACTTCGACATCTTTGGACTTGCTTGTGATTAATAATTTTGCTATTTTTAGTGTCTTTTGTACTAAATGCTCTTAAACTACAAGCATGTCTGAACTTACTTCAGCTTAAACTGAGCAAAAACCAATCATAACCGCATTAATTCAAAACATAATTTCAGGCAACATTGGGTCGGTGCTGTGCACAGCGAGAGCTTTCTAGTTTCCTTAATATAAAATTATGTTTTAAATAGAGACATTTTCTTAAAAAAATATTCGTATTTTATTTTTTAGAAAAATAATTGTAGTTAAATTGTGTTTGTTTTAGCTTTTTTTCAACTCTTAAGTTTTTAATGTGGGCTCCCAAGAACTTCAATCACGGATCAATGCAGCCCAATACTAAAACCATTTCTAGACTTCTAGTATATATATATATATAGTTAGACTTTTAGAATTATTAAATTAAATATTTGGATAGTTTTACTTTTTTTTTTATAAATAGTTTTATTGTTTTTAATCGATTTTTTAAATATGATAACATACTAAATTAATCGTCATTTAATAATTTTCGACACAAGATCCAAATTATATATGTAATAATCAGTTGCACTATGGTGTGCCTTGGCACACCTTGCTAGGTGTGCCAGGCTTGATTT